TCATTTTGTCCGATTTGAAACACTTCCCCTTAAGAGATGATTATACGCGCTGCGAGACCGTGGTCTCCTATCCGCATATTGACGGTAAAAAATAAAGTTTAATGCCAACTAGTGGGTGGAATACCGTCAGGCATGATCGTACAGTTACAGTTAGAATAAAACATAACTGTGGGGATTTGCGGGTACTTAGGACTGCGTGAAAAAGGGGCAATGTCCGGTTTAGACATGGCCACGCCTAAACCAGAGAGGGAGAGGAAGCACGGCTACCAGGAGTTTATCCCACCTTTGTGAGAACATACCAGACCGCGAAAAGATCAGACCGTCAGGGCTTGAAGGTGACGGGCCACAACAGAACGAAGGTGGGCACTAAAGAGGTATCCTGCCTAGCAAGCGACTACAAAACTTCAGATTGCGAAAAACAAAGACCCAGAACAACGGATCTGGTGTGGTAGCAGGAATTCCGCGAGTTTTCTGGTCAATTTGAACTAAAGTCTAAAATCACCGATAGGACATTTTTGGCCTTAGAATGTTGAGCCTATGGCCAGGGTCACAAAATGCGTAAGCGGGGATTGTGAGTGGAGGAGTCTGCACATGTATAAATGGTAGCGGTAATTCCATAGTTCCGCTGATGTCTGGAGTGACTGAGCTGGGATGTGCAACTCTGTGGGCGGTGAAATTTTTTTGGTTAACCTGCGAATTCTTAGATGTGGACCAAAGGTATTTTCCTGGTACCCAATGGGGATCCATTCGGGTGAAAACCGCAGAATAGTTGGAGTGGATAGCAGTTAAACAGGGCATCCGAATCAGATGTACCCGAAGTCCGGGGCTTGGGAGAAGGGGGAATGGGATAAAGTCAGCCAAACTCGATGAGTTTTTGGAAGCTTCGGATATGATTAAGTCAAAAATAGAGAGAAAACGGACTGTTCACCATATGTAGGGTGGTAACAACAAGTGATTAAATGAGACAGGATAGGTATAGACTTGTACTTAATACAGTGGCGATCAAAGACTGTCTAAGCTTGACGATATAAGCCATTGTAATGTCATAGACAGGGAAATTACCATAAGTTTGCAGAGGTGATATGTGGTAAGGTAAATCAAACACAACTACCGGAGGGAATAGAACTTCCTGTAAAACTGACGAGAGTTTCTGGGAGTTCGTTACATGCGTCGTCTAGGGTCTCTCAGCTGTCTGCTACCATAAACGTCATGATCTTCCTAGCATATTTAGCAAGTTATGTTGGAACACTCTTCTGTTTGACAACAAACTCGTACGTTTTTAACGGCGATAAGGAATGCGGCATCCGCGATTTGGATTCTTAGAGCCATTATCGATCAAAAATTATTCACACAAGCGGCTCATCCGCATATTTTTCACTCACAAGGGCCAGGCAGGTTCTAGATTGTCCTCCAAATTACTTCAGCTGTAAAGCTATTTGAAAGTTCCGTCCACAACTTATGTTTACTTGTTACGTTAGACAGTGTTTTTACAGTCGGAGGATGCTTGAATTTGCAGATTTGTTCACTTAAACAAATGACAATATTGATAATTTGCCTAATAATTCCCTACATATGAACCTTTTACACTATGGAGTGGCAACACTGAAAATGTTTAAGCCTTCAAGAAATCAATTCCATTGTGCGAAAACTGAGCGGCGCAGCAAAAACGATGACCTTCAAAATTGAATGCGCGCCAGAAATTATGAAGGGAAATCAACCCGAACAAATTACAACCAGACAGATTATGGTGGTTTAGGATTTCAGCATACATGCAGCAGAAATGAGCGTTATACCCTATTTTTATTTTGTCATGCATGGGACCGGGACAAAATGGACGTTTCGGATGATGCACGGCACCGTGTCGAGCTCACATGCTTACTTCACCGATTAGGGCACATTCGCTGTCCTCCGTTTGTATCATTTTAGCCCGGTGCTTTTGTCACTCATCACGTTTTCGTTTGAACTTGCAGTAGTCCTTCAACATTTGGGAGGGGATAACTAAGCTATAGGTTTCGGAACATTTCAAGCACTATGTTTGCGTGGTACAGTGTGTTATTGGTGAATCTCCGGTTTTCTGTTTCTTGGCTTTCCCGGATACACCAATTATACCGCAAGCAATCTGAAGATGTTCTGCATATGTTATACCATGGTGAGAGAAAAATTCTTTATCGCAAAACGGCGTGTGATGCCACATCGATGAAAATATTGTGAGCTCTTGGTAGCGAACACTTGTGGATAGTCTTCAACGGAACTTGTGTTCGATAAACAGAGGCCAAATTAATCATATGCCACTACAAACAGCCAGTATTCAGCCATTTGACAAATGCGAATTTTTGTGTAGGTGAAAGTTTGGACATCATATAGCCAGCTACATATAAATATCCTATTGATTAAAAGTTCCTTGGCTGTGGCGGCTACAGTTCCTATCCAATTTGCACCCGGCGGTGTCTATGCGAAGTGAGAAACAAAAGCTGAGCCATTGTATTTAGGCTTTTATTTGGGTCACAATGTTGCGGTACATGTTAACAGAAAAATGAGAAGAGCACTAGCAGGTTGCTGATTTGCTCGAGAGTTGATACAGTAAAGTCTTCGGTAATAACGGAGGAACGAGTCCCAAAGGGCGAACATGGGGCGGTGGTATGCCATGTTATAATTTATCATGTGACTTGGTGACTTGCCTGCAGCTGGAATTTACGGGAGAATGCATTGCCAGCCCTGCCCCTTGCACGCTAGTGAACTTAATGTGGTGAAGAAGGTGAACACGAACTTGGTCCCGAATCAGTTTATCACAGGGTCCCTTGACCACGGCAGACATTTTCCGCAATCTTTGGAGAATTTAACCACGCCGCCAAGGTTTCATGACTCCCGGATGAAAGTGACGTCCACCAAAATAAGCGTAAGTCCATAGAACAAGACAAACGCTATCCACGTGTGCAAGAGCCGTGTATCTGGAAGGGGGATTGTGAAATGAAGTCATTCCGGAAGCCGGTGGCGGGTGGTGTGGGAGAGCCTAGGATAGCGTAGCAGCAGGCACTCATCTTGGCTAAACCTCGTTTCAGATCGCGACCATTCTGTTGAGCGGAGGAAGTTGGTACTCAATGTTTTGAGGTACAGCCTCTGGCTGCGTCAGAGGATTTCGGGGCTGCTCAACTGAAGGACTTTCTTGGGTGGACTGTCGCATATCTAGATGAACTTTGTGCCGCCTCAGGGCAACGGCTCTTGTAACCACATCGACTCAAGTTCAGACAACATGGCCAGATTTATTCAGGTTTGCTAGAATTGTGCGGAAACGTGATCAACCGGCCTATGGTAATTGCAGCGGATAGCTTTGACCAACCACCAAAGTTTTCTTATTTGAAGTCATCATTTTCACGGGGGCACATTGGTCGTGAGAGTTTTAATGTTCATCGGGTGAGGTGATGTGTAAGCCGGTTAAAATGTAATGATACTCTGAAAAAATCGACCACCATGTGTTTGTTTGGGGTTCAACCCATTACCACTAGACAAACAGAAAACTTTCCGAGAGATAGAACACTCCACGGAGTTTCAACGCACTCATCGTCGGAACTAAAGGGAATTATTGCCCGAAGTGTCTGCCTTTGTCCATTACGGTATAATGCATGATGGCGATGTATTCCTGATTCTATTCCTTTCGCTTTATCCTTACAGATTATACTAAAATCGTGAAAAATCATAAAAATGATGAGCCTGTAGCGGACTAGGACCTTATCAGCGTGTTCGGATAAATTAAGAAGCAAAGTCACGAATACAAAATCACAAAATCACGATAGGAAAGGAACGAGTAGTCAAATGGGGACTCACGAATGTGTAGATCCAATAGTCCACTACACCGACCCAGATGCAGTAACTGGCTGTGAGAAGAAACATTTCCTTGTCGGAATTTCCCACGGGTGGTTCAGCGTGCGTAATATATTCCACGATAGGAAAATTATTCACGGCTAAAAATGTCACAGGGATTTATTGTGACGTTCAACAATTGACACAAACACAGAGATTTAATCCCACTAGTTCAGCAGTCAACAAACAGTTCAATGGAGCATAAATGCACTCGTTCAGAAAGAAGTCAGCAGGTGGCGCCGAAAAATTGTGTATTTGTAACAATAAAACAAACGTCATGATACAATATGTACGACAGCTACAAAGTGTGGTTTAAGTTCCGGAAGAATGGTAAATGTGACAACGAATTACAGACACTACACGCCCCTGATAGTGGCCCTAATTCTCAGTGGTAGAGTAGTACAAACTCGGGACTTAATTAACCAGACGGAGTACGGTCTGGCTCAACGGGAATCTCCTTACCAGACTGTTTAGCCCGATGACTACCTTCGGGTGCATATTTCGAAGACCCTCACGATAACAGTGCGCTCAGACATTCTTGTCCGATTGGACCTTAAGGTTGGTAGTCGGCGGGAACAGCAGGAAACAAATCAAATAGGCAGAAAATGGGTGAAAAGAGGATATGAGGAAAAGTGAATTCCCACACTTCGACTTCTTTTGTGGAATAGCTGCTTGTACGTCAAATTCCCGTGTCACTTCTTTGGGAGTACATTAGTTCTCACAATATTATGGACTGCCGTATCATCCCGCAATGTCTGGTCCGGACTCACTCGAAATCACTTGCTGGAAACAGTGTTTTGACCTGCCCTTTGTCAACTTTGACAAACCCATCCAAACTGTCAGGGGCACAATTAGCCCATGAGAGAACAATATTGGATATCTGTGATTCGCTATTAGTCTTCTGGCCTTTATCCTCTTCACTCATACCATTACTCCAGCCAGCGCAATTATTTCCTTTGCCTGCACCACTCCCACAAAAGGTGGCATAATATCTAATTTTATTGCGCCCCTTTTTGGAGAGCCTTCTAGAGGAAAGATCTGACGATGGCTGCACGGGAAAACTTGAAGTGAACTGAATAGAACTGGGAAATTTACCAACCAATCACCTACGAGCCTTGCACTGTGCCTCCTACTGCTAACGCCTGCCAACGCTCGTCGCGCACACAACTGCTGGTTGCCCCGACATGGCGAATGTTCAGACATCTTTCCCACTAATGACTAAAGAGGCGGCAGAGAAGACAGCAAGGTCCATATTCGTGGGGAATATTCCGTACGAGGCTACAGAAGAAAAGCTAATTGAACTTTTCGGCAAGGTACTTGTCTTGGATGTAGGGATAAAGACCTATTTAGGCCGGCCCAGTCATTGGCTTCCGTTTAGTTTATGACAGGGAATCGGGAAAACCAAAGGGTTACGGTTTTTGTGAATACAATAATCCGGCGATTGCCGCGAGTGCCCTCCGTAACCTCCAGAATATCGAATTCAATGGGCGTCCTCTTCGAATTGGTAAGTGATGCAGTGATTTGTTACACCGATGAATCAGGCCCCGCCGCCGGAGAGCAGAATTCTGCGGAACTAGCACTTAGTAACCCGGCTGTGGGGCCTCCTTTGGAGAGCCCCTATGGAGACAAGTGTGATCCCCAAGCGGCTCCTGAGGCAATCAGTCGGGCTGTTGCCAGCCTCCCACCGGAACAAATGTACGAACTTATGAAGCAAATGAAGCTCTGCATCCAGAACAATCCAAACGAAGCTCGGAACATGCTACTACAAAACCCACAGCTGGCGTACGCGCTGCTCCAAGTAGGTGTGGCGTTCGTGCAATTTAATTAATCGTCTCGCGTCACGCGAATCTGGGTGCTGTGAAACCTAAAGTAAGGGGACTAAGGTTGGAAAACAACCACATAGCAGGCGGACATTCTAGGTTTCAGCACAGTGAAGGCCAATATGGCTTGCATTTAGGGCCTGATTATTGCGCTCACTTTGTCGTTCAAATCGAACTCGAAATGAACGTTTCTTGGTCTATTGGTCGGGCTTTTGTTGTGACGCTGAGTTCTCAATCACCAGACGATTTCCAAGGCGGCCTTGATGAGTGGTGCATCAGTCTTTCAAGTGCAGCTCCATGCATAAACCCACGTGGCCACCTACATATTCGTCGAACGTGTATTGTGGTAGCCCTGTACAAGCGATTCCCTCAAGAGCGGACGTCTTTGAGCGATTTAGAGAATCCTTCTTGCTTCATAACCCAGCTGGGTGGCTTCCAGGAACTCAAACTGCTTGGCCACCCTATGGGTGGTACTTATTTCGGTGGCCACACCGTAGACGGCTAGGTTTTATAAGCATGGTTGCTCACGATGTCACGTTGACAAGATAGTATAAATCGCTAGTCGATACACTGAGGACTCGCGATTGTTTAGCCGAAAATGTTATTGTTGTCGGGACAGCAAAAACAGAGTTGGAGCCACAGTCGTTACCAAGGGATTGGATGGTCTAAGAGGATGTTTATAACCCCCCTATGACGTGATTACCAGTACAGGATAATTATTTGCGTGACTTTATGTGGCGATGCCGTCCAGGATGCTGTTGGTACGGGTCACGGTCGACAAAATTGAGTGACCGCGGCGTGGTTGCCTCCGTAAAGTTGGAATTATATTGTGACACTTTGCTGTTGGTAGAGACTGTCAACACGTTCGATGAGCCATAGGAAATAAGAGCACGTGAACGTGACATAGTTCCCAGTTTTTACCGAGGAATTCGGTTGCTTAGTTATGAAGATGTAGCCGAGATTTGATTGAGTTATCATTGGTTGGGACTTGTCTAACGCTTCTGGCGCATCAAAGTTGTTGTAGGTACCAATACCATCCGGTGGGCCAAGGGACGTCAGCGTGCCTTACCGTGACGTGACGTCATGCTATGCCGCTGGTTTTAGCGATTTTCGCGTGGAAGTGAAGAGTCACTGGGCCAATGGTTGTGACACCGAAATTGTGGTGGTTGGCCTATCCACTCCATCGGTCGGTCGGATGTGAACATTTTACGCATCATTTAGTCAAAGTGAATCGTACTCTGAGGCCACCGAACAGAATAAAATAATCATTGCTCAGATACAATACCCTTGGGCGTCCAACTACCATGCGCCCAAAGGAAGCACGGGGGCTAGGTTACTAAGCCTAGACAGGAGCAGTCGAGATGCAGGCCACTGACCTTCCGGCCGATAAATTCGCGCCCTCACCACTGATCCACCTCGAACTTGGCCACCTGATAAACAATCCACGGAAAATTCTCGGGAGAAATTTCCATCAATAGAGAAGAGTATGATGACTAAAATGATCTTGCGTGCACATTTTCTGAGCAACAGCTGCGTTTCGTGTTGGAATAATTATCAGAGACAGCAACATCAGTGTTGATGATGCTCCACTGCGGTACAATCGCAAGGTTTAATTATATTTGAAAACTTAGTGAAAGGAGAAGTGTAGATGAGGGAGGAGACCTGGTGCTGGCTTATCGCACACCACCCTAAGGTCCAGTTGCCTCATGAAAGGCGAACTGGCTCAGCGGTTAGAGCGCGAATTTATCAACCGGGAGGTCCATGGTTCGAACCCGACCTCTGAATCTCGACTTCCCCTGTTTAGGCTTGGGCAACCTAACAGTATCCTAGCTTTCGTGCTTCGGGTGGCTGGTAGCTAGGCACCGAAAGAATGTTACAGCTGAACGAAGAATTAGGGACGTCTCGGTCTGGCTGCTTTCAGTGGTCAAGTATCAATTGTACAGCGAAACAGTTCGTACTGTAGCCCGGTGTCCTGTATTAACCTGAAGTCACTAGACATAACCGTCGCCAGGCAGCACTGCAACACAGCTATTCTTTCTGATTAAGTTGCAAAGTTTGTAACCTGTTTGTGCAACACATTTTGTTGACCACGCGTGAGAAAGTGGGTCTGTGAACCGAGTATACACGAGTTCACAACTTTCGCCGCGCCGAAACTGTAACCTCACGTACCTCCGTAAGCTCACCACCAAGAAACCTTAAACTGGCGGTATGCAGCTCCCGAGACCACTCACCGCTGACCTCCAAGCGATGTGGTTTGGTTTTATGGGAAACTCGCTTTCCATCTCCAGGAGTTTCCCTCATAAGTAGGTTTTTTAATGTCAGAAAAACAGGCGTAGGTGGCATTGCAAACGAATCCTCGAAACTTTACTGCCTCTAGCAGCTCCTGAACTCACTATAGGTCCAAACCGATCGCGAAACCAACTTGTGTCTTCCCAACACGGTGAAACTGGATCTTATCATGATGTGACGGTTTATGTGCCTCCGCGACTCGTTGAGCTATTCTGGAGATTGTTCGTACGACACTTGCTGAGTTTCATACCAGGTTAGTAAATGGTTAGAGGTCTGACCAACACAGTCTTCTGGCCTTCGAGTTTGGGTATCGGAACTTGGCGACTTGTTCTGTGGGAATGGGAATGCGCTTGCATTCGCTGCCTTGCGGTTATGCTTTGGTCAAGGATCATAATCGTCCTGTTTAGGTGTGTGTCTTGACAGTATACGAGCCTACTTACAACAATATTCCCACCACATCGGTCGTTTCGTGGTGTCACCACCCGGGTTGCCTTACTTGCTGCATGCAGCTGGGTGGGTAAGCGTTTCACACATTTCCTTCCTCGTCCTATGACATCGGGCTGAAGGATCCTTGCTTGACTGGATTCCCGTTGACAGCCATCTCTGTGCTGACCCGGCGCCTCAGATACGAACTTCATGAATTGGGAGAAAAGTGAGCTAAAGATACGCTCAGTGGGATGCGTCATTATGGATGGGCAGCAATCTCCCCGCAATTTGTTACATTGCTCAAAACGTAAACCTAAACCGCGAGAAGTTATGGTGCGTCAGTCTAGTATTCCTATAGAACCCTATAGACAAATACCCACCTCCACTAGGACTGATCCCTAGGAGATGAGAACTATATCTCTGCACTGAATCATGAAAATAATGGAAACACGACTAATAAGATTTAAAAACGACTGCCGGGTTGGATACAGTGACAACCTCCACTGATTGTCGGAAACATCTGAAGCTACCACATATACCCTATCGGTCATCAAAGTAAGCTCCTCTCCCCCACAGACTTTTTTCAAGTGCAGCCAAAATGTACGAAAAGCGCGTAATTTTGGGCTGAGAGCATTGAGTTTTTCAAATGGAAAGATAAACACACGAGTGGGTGAGCAGGTGGTGCGGGGGAAGCTGGTAGTTTCGGGCTTTTGTCTGGCAAATCTGTCTTGTGAGTCAAGGGACTCATTCACTCTTTATGCTAATATCTAATCTGCGAGTACTTCTAAACACTAGAGTTCGCTGCCTAAATTCCGGTGCACAGGTTTGGCTTTTCGTCCATGGAGTGAATTTATTGCGCCACTTATTTCGGTTACTGTTCAGCACTTAGGTATCCTGGTTCCAGGGTTAGGGCCTGGACTGGTGACACGATGCTCCACAGTTCGAACCCGACTCTGCCTCTCCGATAGGGTAGCCTGGCACTATCTGAGTGCTCTTACGTCACCTCGAGCTGCACCGCAGCTATGCACCGAGAGGGTGCCACAGCTGAGCCGAAACATTGCTTTCAAAATACGAAAAATGGTCTAGCAATATCACCGCCGTCGATTCCCAGATTGTTTGGCGATGCATCATTGCCTTTATTCAATTGCCGGTATACCCTCCTAGTTTGCGAAGATGCGAAGCACGCATTTAAATCGCGTTTCATAACAAAAGGGACTTCTTCATACAGTGACTGGATTTTCCTCGCGAAAACTTGTCCTTACGAAAGCTTCTTAAACTCAAAAAATTTTTACCACTCGTTCCCCCGGCTACACATCAAGGCACAGATTGTTATGAAAATCGTGGACCCCAAAGTTGCAATTGCTATGCTCAACCGGAGTCATGACCAAATTCCTCCGGCTATGCCGGATGAAGGAGAGACCAGACAGAAACCCAACGCACCAACTTCTTCCCCAGCTCCTATGCCTATGAATAATGCTGCGCCAGCCGTTGCACAGATGATGACTCCTCATACTGCTCCGGTCTCGATACCTGGGATGCCACCTACCAGCTACTCGTCTCACCCTGGAACGATTCCTATGGGTGGATCCCATCCTGGTGCGTATCCGATGGAACAACATCCGTCCGCTGTCCCGGTGCAGAACACACGTAAGTTACACATTACGCACTGAGCTAACGATGGATCGCATTACGACTCAGTCGCAGTCTTTGCCTTTGATGAAAATAATCGTTGATTCATAACATCCTTTCGGTGCCCAGCTACCATGCCAAGACAGGAGCAATCGAAATCCTGAGGTTGGGTTCGAAACAAGAGCCTTGCGTTCAGTAAGTTCGTGCCCTAACCACTGAGCTATCTCGAGCTCTGTGGTGGAGGCCTGAACCACTAATCTGAGTCTTCATTCTTCTGGATAAGGCATTCACGAGCTGCCCCACATCCCGTGAATAGCCGGTCACTGTGTCCACATTAGATGGTATGGAGCCCTGTTCAGGTGTACTAGTCTGTTCTCATCCTTGGCTACACTCCGGAGGCTCATTTAAGAACAATTACCTGTTTCGGCCAAACTAGGTCAGTTGATTTCACTTCACTTGGTTGCGTCAATCACCGGGGTATCAGTTGGTCGTGATGCCCCCACTACTTACCATGATATTGTACCATCGATCCCAAAACGCGGTATTCCTCGATTTTAATCTCACAGATAGCTTGATCCTTTCGTACATTCCTGGTCAAGAAGGCACATTCCAGAGTTCCAGGAATTTCGGCACGTTCCATTCCATATGTTCGGCTTTACAGGTGCATAACAAGTTATCCGAGAGCCTCCTCTGGATCAGTGAGTCAAATCGAAGTTACTCGTTACTGAATAACTTTTATAGGGCCCGGAACAAAGCTACTGAGGTATGCTCTGAAGCACGCTTGGCAGAAGCGGACCATCCGAATGTTTGTTGGTTGGCGTTCATCATTCACCTCAAAATGGTATCTATGTATCTTTAAGACCTACTGGTATCACCTCCCTATTGTGCTTCAGAACTCGAGTGTATAGATCGGTTTGTATGTGCTGGCAGCCGCATTCGTGTGGCAAGATCAGCACATGTACTGCAAAAGGTAGAACAGTGCTCAACAACCCGTCAACCCGAGCATGAAAAACGAATTCTCCGGATACCATAGGTTTGTGTAGGCAAAACTGCCGTGAGAACGGTACTGATCCTCGTCTGCAGAACCTAAGCGCCATGATCCAAAGGCCTGGCGGTTTTCTTGACCAACCCACACTACACAAGTTAGTGAACGTAGTTTCACAAAGAAATGGCGTATAAAAAATCAGCAACAAATACAAATTATTAGGTTGAGATGGCTGGAGCGTGTAGTACACATGTCCACCCAAAGCATCTTCCGAAGCGAGAGTTCATCCGTAATCCTGGTTAGCAAATTTGTCGCGATGGGCGGGCCATGGTACGACGCGTAGTTAGATGAAATAATGAAACAAGTTTAGTGGAATCTCACCACATTCCTAGAGTCCACCTGACTATCCCATGTTTGAACAGCCTACAGGATGTGATACATAACTGGCCTCAACGAAGAGCGTTCTATCATTTCGTAGCCTATCTACAAATTGTTTCGTGGCGCGTTGGTGTTGAGTGAAATCTTTGATGCCAAATCAGTCTCACTGGTGCCGTTTAACTTCGATGTTTCGGGTGACTTAGGTAGATGCTACGTTGCATGGAGCAGATGCCCAATCTCAAGGAATGTCAACGCAAGTTTGGAAGCACTGTAACAATTCAATTTTGAGTTTAGCTGTAGTATCAAGGTGAGGAAGCGTTAGCCCTAGGTGTTAATTCTGACCGAAACTTGCGGTTGCAGTCGTATGATAAATTACCCGTGTTTGTTTTTGCGTGTCCTCGTTTAAGGTATTTCACAGTTCTATCCTGGGGGTGGAATGGCACCGCCTGGGGGCGGATTCCCTCCTGCATCCAATATACAACCACCTGTCCAACACCAGCAGCCACCGCCTCCAATGCCGTATGATTACCCTGGAAACGCGCCACAGCAACCAAGGCCCGGTATGCCCAACCCCCCAATGAATTTCCACCCGAACGCACCGTCACAAATGCAGGCTGCACCGAGGCCAATACGCCCACAAGGACCCCAGGTAAGCCAAAACATTGTCGGTTAATCCGGACGGTCACAAATGGTAGAACCAGTTTTAAACATCATTGGATTATCGTCATCAAGTCGTGGTTGCACTCCTCGTGGGAGCTAAGGGAAATGTTACTATTGTTACTTCGCCAGCAGTTCTCACATTTACAACAGTCGCCTGCATTATTTTACACCTGTTGAACTTAGGTGAAAACAAATATGTTTCACCATATACAGATAAATAGTGTGCATAAATTGTACTCTACACCTTCCGAAATTTTCTGACATTGCAACCGATGGACATTAAAGTCTCAGTCACTTGGCCAACATCTGCGCTTTATCTCCACGATATAACTGGTGCAATCTGCACTTTTTATCACCATCCAATGAAGCGATATCTGAGGCTAGTGAACTGAAAGAGGTTAATCAAAATTAGTCACCACCGGTCAGGACTGTACATGACTTCTCCGTTGTTTGCGCAGGCTTGTCAAAATCTCGGGCTCACTGCACCACAAGCGGACTTTATGTTTGCTTACCTGCGTCGTTCCCGCTGAGTTCTTCTGTCTCACTCTATTTTCTGTCGGCCGGTGAATCCTGGTTCGCCCGCTGTCTACAGCGGTAATTTTCTACAACAAGCCCATTTGAAGTGTCTACGAGAGCATTCCCTGACCCACAACCTGGTGTTTTGGTCTCTCTCGAGAGTTGGATCGCAGTGGATGTCGAATTCCACCTTTCCTATGGTGGCCTCCCTTGAGGACTACTGTACCTGTGTAATTTCCTGTCAAACAATTACGGAGTACTACTTGAAAAATAGAACTTTCACGTTTTTATTAGATCCCACGTCGAAGACCGAACTATTCAGATATTTTTGCTCTCATTTTTCAGCCTATCACACCTGCAATCGCCGCTGCAGCGGCTGCGAATATGGGTCCAAACAGCATATTGGCCGGACAGGGTGAGCAAGAAAAAGTCGCCCTAATCATGCAAGTGTTGCAGTTGTCCGACGAACAGTTGGCCATGTTGCCGGAAGATCAACGCCGTAGTATAATGATACTCAAGGAACAGTTAGGAAAGACGGGTGCCATTTAAAAAATAACTTCACACCCACACTTTTCGTGAAAACTGCGAGAAACTCGTTTTTGAAATATAATTGATTGTATCTGAATTGTGCCTCCTCTCGTAGAACATTTGAGCTCCCGGATATCGCATATAAGTCATTAGAAAAAAACAATGGTCATGCAAGGTAGTTGTACTGGTCGGGATCATAGGGGCTACGTTCAATATATCCTTTGTCAATGAGGGTCTCAACACATCTTTTGATTAACGGTATGGAGGGTTGAAAGCGACCACTGGCCTGTTGGAATACGGACTTTATCAAACTGACGTGGTCAATTTGTTTCCTTGATTTCATGACGCGGACTATGGCAGCTTGGATAAAATATCGTCTGTCTTCGTTCACTTGCCTCTCTACTTGTTCTGCGTCCGTCTGAAGAGCAAAGCATGATTAGTTAGGTAGTTGTGTTGTCAAAGTCTGAACGTGAAAACTGAGAAAGTTAGTAAACAAAATTACGGGTCCTATAGTTTCTTATGCAATTTGCCAAACATTGGCAACCTGGCCCGCTTGAGTGGCAGGCAAGTGAAGCTCAGGAAACACGTGTGCCTCACTCGGTGCTCAACGGAGTGCTTCGCGGCAAATAAAGGCACAATTAAGCACAGTATAAACAAACATTTTGTTCTATAAGATGATAAGTGGCAATTGAGTTCAAATATTGTGACCGACGATCCCGTTCGGGGGCATGTCCAGTTTAGGCTTGGGCAATCTGGCAGTATCACATCCCTCGTGCTTCCTTCTGGTGGCATGACAGTTAGGCGCCGAAAGGGTGCTACAGCTGAACGATTTTTGGTTGTTGAAACGATAGTCTGCAGATACTGTTGAGTGTCGCTGTTCCACTTACGTGATACCACAGTCTGTCATCTAGATAGCTTTGGTGCTTGCACGATGTCCTAATTCTCGCAATTCACGGAAACTCGGCCGAGTTTGTTTAGAATATCTTTAAGGATGACTCGGTTTTGATGAGTGCTTACGGTCTACACCATTTCTGCCACTATATGCATCGTGAGCTGCTCTGTCTTCTAGAGATTGTGCAGATAAATGACTGGGAACAATGGTAGAAGGGATGGTTTCACTGCGTCCAACTTTACCGCCTACAGTGAAAACTGTTATCGGATTAAGCGACCGATTTGAGATCGAACCCGCAAAATTTTGGTGATGCAGGATACGTTTCATCATGGTTAAATCTACTTAGATTCGTACTTTTTTCAGCGATATTCGATGTACGTGGGAAGAGAGCTGATTCTTCAGCAATGTGGTAAAACAAAGCAGGAGCAGAATCGGTAACCGTGTGAGTTCACCCATAAATTCTTGAAGATGCGCAGGTACGAGTTCGAACGGAAGGCATCATCATCAAAGACAGCAACATCAGTGTTGCCACTGATGCTTCACTGCCGTACTCATGGTTGCCGAACGGAAAGCAGACAAATCAAGTCAAGTGCTAGGGGGGCTCACATTAGATGGGCGATAGTATCAACTCAGACAACAGGGTGCGCTAACTGCGGTCGCAGGTGGCAGGCTGTATCGAACCAGTGGCCGCCAAGACCAGTGTACTTGTGGTATGGTCTGGTGTAGTGTGGTCGTTCGGTTACGTTCCGCATATTGTTATTGTCGAATACATCAACAGTAAAGCAAGAAGCTGCATTGTATAGTTCAGCATGTGAAACAAGACTAATTTCTGTAGGACCCACACGAGGACTGGAAGCCGGAGGACAGTAGGGTAAGCTTGTGACAGAGCGTTTAAGCACCGAAAATATTCCAGTCATGTCTGTCAAAGCCACAAAAGTCAATCTGCAGCGCTAATCCACGCTTGTCACCTGATAAATTGTTTGGGAAACCGAACAGACTAAGGCATGTGAAAAAGTGCTCAACGCAAATGAGTTCGTTCTCAACATTTCGGATATCGTCCGAACAAGCTACTGCATCGTGCTCCCATTCTTGTAACCACCTAACTACTCTGTGGGACATGCAGAAAGAAAAACTCTGAGAGGGGTTCGATATGGAACTGGAATACGGAATCCTGACAACTACACTGATTACAAGGAATCACTATACATGGGAATACACTGGTCCCATCCCATATGACGATAGACGCACTGTTAAAACAGGTGCAAATAGGGTTTCCATGTGCCTCCCACTATCCCATTACTGGATACCCGATGGCGTGATTCGTATATGGATTTTCGAACTGGCAGCTATAAGGCGCTTGGATTCTCCAGCTCCAACGATGCCCTTCAATCCCGCTCAATCGGATCTGTCGATCGTTAATTTGACGAGCACTACATATCGTATCAACCCTACCCACATACCGTCACCTTTTTTTGTTTCAGTACCTCACTTCAAGGGGTAGTTTTTGGACTTTTTACCAAGGTATCCATATCTGGGCGCTTTTGCCAGTCGGTATTCTCAGTACTCAGGTGATCATGTAGAAGCTGCTTCGTGATCCTGTTTCCATCCAGTCAGCGAACACGTCTCAGCCACCGTAGACAGTTACGTACGACAGTCTCCGCACCGTTACAACGCTCCAGCCGGGTAGTCTATGTGCTTAACCTCCTCAGTTAGGTTGACGTCGAACGCCTGAAGCAACGCTACGGAGGCATCGCATATTGTACCGGTACGTGATCGGTATTTCAATACCGTGCAGAAACACGGATAGCGCCACCGCCTTTTAAACACGTAGTTTGTTCTCCAACCGCGAGCTCTGGCGTTCTCATGCCATTTACTCGAGCTTACCAAAGGCTAATCCGGATCCCAACCCGCCACCAACGATTGAATCGATAACTTGCTACTCTGATAGCAGAAGCCTTTATGACATGGCTCAGACCCAGTCCCAGATGACTACGGAGTTGGACTGTCTAGTTATAGTCCGACTATGGAATGTGATTGCCTGTCTACCGGTGGTTCGGTCAACTGCAAGCCCCTCGAGTCCCAAACACGTGAAAATCATAACGAAACTACGTCATTAAAGGACTAGTATTGATGTCATTGTTGATGGCTAGGTGTTTCTCCTAGAGGGACGTCACGTGTTGAAAATACGAAAAAGAAACAGGTTAGGTGGGGAGTAGACACATTGGCATAGGCTATATGTGGTTTTCCAGCGGTGTACGAGTCTAATACATAAAACGGAACTCAAATGAGTCTTTGGGCAGCGTAGCTGCAACGCGTCTAACACAACTGGCTGAGACATTAGCCTTTTACGGATAATGGATTAAGGCTTACCTGTGTGGTCTCCTTGACTTGTGATCCGAAATTCACGCGAAATTTGAGGCGCTTGTTCTTGAATGCTCGATTCAAAACAATACGAGTCGAAGGCTGAGCAAGGAAATATGGATGGGTGATCACAACTGATGTAATATGTATCAAACTGTGAAGCATAAAAGATGACGAGTCCACTCGGCGATTCCTGTTCAGTAAGGTATAGTGCTAGAGATATCTTGGTGGTTAACGTGCGAACTTATTGATCGGAAGTTTCGTGCTTCGAACCCAATCCCAGAATCTCGACTGCTTCTGTCTTGGCCTGGGCAACCTGGCAGTACCTCAGCCTTCATGCTTCCTTCGGGTAGCGTGGCAGCTAGGCACCGAAAAGGCGTTATAACTGGATGATTTTTTCGAAGGTACGGTGCTTCCGAATCGATGAAAATGACCTAGATGGATCCTGCGCATTGAGAAAGCCAGTTTACAAAAACCAAGTGTACGACCCATATCTTTTAGCTGAGTTATGTCAGTGGTGTAGTTGCGATTGCGACACAGCGGTGGCGGATCATAATCGAATAACAAGGACACCTTTGGGACTTGCTTCCTCAGAAGAAATCATTTCTGACTAGTTCGTGAACAAGTAGCCTGAGAACCGGTGCCATAAATAAAATAAGAATAGAATAGAAATGAGCCCACAAGTACACAGCCCAAGCGCCTTAAGGTTCACTTGACATCAATTCAACTGCCCCGGCACCCCCTAATAAAATCTGTGAATGACATTGAAGAGGAACATTCCATTAGGTTGTCCATAGACCGGAAAATCAAGGCCCCAAAGTCCTGATTTGACCTGATGATACATTCCCTTAACCACACTAACCAGAATCGATCAAGTCGGCTAGTTGCAAAAAAACTCACCGACTGGTTCTCCGTCTGTCTTAAAACTCGGACAACCCGGTAACTTATTCATTTGGCCTGAAGAAGCTATTGTGCTAAGAGTAAAACACTGCCGAGTAGTAAGTCCACCAATTGTCTACTAAACCCTTCTAAAGGAAGAAAAGAACATCCTTTGGCCTGGATCTGCAAGGGAGCGTATCCTCCGTAGCATTAAAAACCCCTACTGGTTGCGGGCTGAATGTTGCAGAAGTCTGCGAGTCAGGATAACCACGTGGGTTTAATCACTGTGCTAGTCGAAATACACCAGAACGGACATCATGATCTTAGGAACATCAGAAGAACAAGTTACCATCAATATCTGCTATCAAAATTCAGTAGTTTTGCGTGGATGAAGGGAGGCCCGCATGCAAATGTAAAAATACACTCACAGAGAGGGTAGGCTTATCCGTCTCACTAAAAGAGGAATCCGCAGACTCCAAAGAGAGGATATTGATTTCTAGCAGCGGACCTAGTATTCGGTGAATCTGATCATAGGGAGCACCACTAACGGAATCAGGAGTTGTATCCATCGCATCATTGGAACTTCCGGGGGTCGCCGCCACAGCCGTCAGAGGATTTTCCGAACTGCTCCCACCGGCAACGGTATCTGCTGAAATCAGCTGAATGCGGGAAGATAAATCACGCACTAGGATTACGTCTGAGTCCAAAACATCAAACAGTAACAAAATGGACGCATGTAATGTCGGCGCCTGTATTTGATAAGGCTTGTCCGCGAACAGTAACGTCAGCTCCACCGTTGAAGATTGATGTGCCCAACGCATCTTCCGGCCTTGATATGAAGCAGCGTAGAATGCTTCGAATTGTGAAGTGCATTGTTGCAACTCGTCTGGGAGTTTGAATTCAACTACGCCGGTTAGGTTGATGGGCCAGGAACATTGCTGTAGGATAAACGGGAGGAAAAAGGGTACAAAACAAGGGCAAATTGGTTGTAGGCTTTTCATCAGTGGTAGAGGTGTCGTCATCAGTGTCTTTGTGAAGCAAAGTGGTTGTGACACCGCTACGCTCCGCCTCAGGATGACGATTTCGACCCGATTGGTGGCCTGCGACTAACTAGCACAGCTACCAACAATGGTCCCAGTTGCAGAATTATAACATGCTGGTACCTGGGTACCAATAGTCGGAGAAAGTTAGCGAAAGTCGAAGTTCAAACAGCTGTAAGAAACGAATCTGAGTGAGTCAAACCAGTTGTTTGGTTCAAAAGGGGCAAGATAGCTCAGTACTTAAAGCGCGAATTTACTGACCAGAAGATCCACGGTTCGAACCTGACCTTTTCAACTTCCTTTTCCCTGTTTAAGCTTGAGTACCTCCTTCGGGTGGCATGGTAGCTAGACACCGCAAGAATGTTACAGCTGAGTGATTATCTTTTTGGTCCAAAACATCAGCAACTCTTGAACCCGCAAAACGGCCTGTAATTTTCATGCTTACAGAACTGGGAAGGAAGATAACCTTGAAGTCAACACCAGTGACATCTGGATGTGAAATGTAAGCTTGGTTTCGATGTCGGGATAACTGAAAACAGGTGGCCATAAAGGTACACTGTTGAACTTGCAGTCCTAATTAACGCCGTTGCTCTCCTGATAGGACCCGGCGTCGCCCACACTAAACCCCAAATCCACGGTTTTTTTATAGGATTTGAGTACAAATGGAGTATTATATACCATATAGCTTGTCTGAGTTGTCACTGTCACCACGGTGAGCTCGTACGAGTAAATAATTTGACCCCCACATGGGTTCAATGCTGGGATTTCTGGTCGAACCACCATCATCAGGCATCATTGTCAGCTGTAANGCGTACTTGTCGTACAGTGGTTGTGGCCGTCACAGTTTCGTTCACCGATGATTTAGGGAGGTGGGGTAGGTAGCTGCGCATTGGCGGTGGGAGCTGATAAATTAGTGCGTAAATACAGCACTGCTAGTGGACTGTTGAGTGGGGGACTGGGAAGGGAGCTATGCATTGAAGGCAATAGCTTGGATGTATGGGCGCCATTGAGGGTGTGACTGGGCCATGTCTGACAATGTCTCTAACCATTGATGTGGCCCGTCTCGGGGTTCCCATCTAGGAAGACGGCAATGACCAGTGGAGCTGAGTTTTCTGGTAATGGTTTTTATACTCCGCTGTCAAGTCATTGTTTGACCGCCTCTGGCTCTTTTCCAACCTTCATGTGGTTGTGCGAAAAGAGCCCTTCGAGGAGGTCGATCGACTGGCATAGCAGTACGTGGCCAAGCCAGCGCAACTTACGTAGTGTGATCAGTTCATCTATCGAAGGTGAGTTATTTCTGCCGAATACCATCGTTGATCTGGTGTTCCCAACAGACTCGGATAATGCTCCGAAGACATCGATGGTCAAACACTGAAAGTCTTTTGACGTCCTTGGCGCGCAGCGGCCAGGTTTCAGATCCCCATTATAATATGGAGCGCACCGCAGCATTGTAAGCTCGACCCTTGACAGAGAAGCTAATGTCACACCTACGCTATAGGTGACACAGGTTCACAAAAGCTGCTCTGGCCTTCCTAATCCGGATGGACATATCATCTTTCACGAGACCACCGGGAGTAATACAGCTGTTCAGGTAAACAAATTTGTCTGCTACCTCAATCGGTTCATCCGCAAGCATGAGGCTAGGGTTTGAGTCCACCCAGTCTTGCAGTAGCACTTTACACTTTGCAGGTGTGAAGCGCATGCCGAACCGTGAGGCGGAATTATTTAGATTATTTGGTGTTGTTCGCACTACCACGGGGTCAGGCTTTAGGTTTTATCAGCGTGTTGGGGCGGGGTACCACCACGTTCATCTATACTGATGAATGAACGATTTGCCGGAATCTGGGAGTTCATCACTTCAGTCGAGCTCAAAAAGAAAAAAAATGTGGGAAGGTTTACATCCATACTTGAACCGTAGAACTGTCACGGTAAGGCGCGGCGCTGTTCAAGGCATCTCGGAGTTTCGATGCGCTATTCTGCGTTATTTCAAATACGCTGTTATGGATCCACTGGTCCACTGATGTGAGCGATTAACACTGATGGGTCATTCAAATCTAAAGCACTCGGAGATGTAAGCCGATCCGCGACCGTCAGGAAGAACTGTTCGATGCATCAAGTTATTGTCGATAAACAGCATGTATTATCACCTATACACTGCACTTTAGGTTGTGCATAATCGGTCGGCCGGCACTGAAGCATGAGCGTTGAACACTGATGTTGCGTTGTCAATGATGCAGACGTAACCAGTCTGTTTACGTTTTCACATTTTCAAAGCCATTTATTTGTCCCACTTTCAGGATACGGGGTGCGAACACCGTATTGAAATGTACCTCTAGGATCTTACACCTCAGACGTGAGCCCACCTGGCCCGATAGTTGGAATCTCAATATGAAGAAAATGAAGTGTATTTAACTTAGAGCGCGATGCTCTAGAATACAAACGGCTGGAGTGCAATTTAGCCTACCTAATTCTAAAAGAAAAACGACTAACCACTATGGTTATGCTTCTCTTCAGAAGGGACACAGTAACATTATCATCGCGTATAACGAAAAAGCCACACGGGAAATTGCGAAAATATTGGCTGCGTTCTCACCGTAAGTACGTTGAAGTGATGGCCGAATCTAAAATGAACATTATTTGTCGCCAAGAAGTCGTCAAACTTCCGGTTCAGTTCCGGGGCTAGTTGAACATCATTGAACATTCGATGGAACTTCCCGGTGAATTCGTAACCACAGACTGCCTTCAGCTGGTTGATCACAGATTCTTCGAGTTCCATTGACGAGGGAGTGTTGGAGATTAGGCGCTTGCAGAGCATACGCTGGTAGTACTGAATGAAAGTAAATTAACAAAGACAGAAAGCGGTTGCTACGAGGTTCGAAAGGGATCTTATCACATGCAAAAAAGGCATACATGGTAACCAAAGTTGCACACGAGGTGGGGTTCGAAGGGAGGAGTGAAACCATGGAATAGTTATAATTTGATTATTCAATTAGTCTGGAGTAGATTGGGCTCGTAGATCGTGGGAGAATCAATATCGCTCTTGGTAGTGGGGCACCGCGTAGATCTGATGATAGATACGGTGAGGTTCATATCTAGAGTATACGCTGACGGGATCAACGGTAAGGGGTCATTCCAAAGTGCTGGTTCCATCGCAATAAAGAGTACAAGGTTAAGCACCGTTGGTAAGCCAGCTGTAGCTAAACTTATCAGTAGGGTTGCAGGTTCGAACCTCGCTAGAGGTTGAAGAATTGCGACCTGTGGACGACTCACAATAGAAACGAAACAATTACACGGTGCTTTTTCTTGCACACCGAAATTTACCGCTTCAACAACATCCGGTGAGAGTAAAGAAGTCGGTTATCCTTTATTGAGCTACATTTTGTCGCAGAGCATGCAGAATAGGAACAAACCTTTTGGAACACATCCTTTTCATCAATATACTTGAAGATTGAAATGGATTCTGTGAGTTTGGATTCAAGTTCAGATTCGGAGGACTTGGAAGACTTTCTCAGTAGACCATCCATGTAGCGACTGAGCAGCTCAGACGGTCGCGGTCCGGGAGATCTGTGATTGTGAAAAGTACTATCAATAATAAAATGACTGTTTTGGGTGTGATTTGACGGTAAAATAACGAAAATCGAGGAGTTTGTGATAGTTGGTCAATTTTCGTATGCGAGAGGGGGAAATGGAAACCTGGAAACCAGGTTAGCGATACTATAAGCTAGCGTGTTGTTCGTGAGGACTGATATGAAGCGGTCAGGTCGTGGCATAGCGCCACCCACCCGGACCATATTGGTCAGCTTTTTAGAGTCAAGGAAGGCTAGGACAAGCAGGAAGATTTTGACACACAAGATAGCCACATCAAACCCTGGTTGATAGGCCAGATGAGATCAACCGCCATCGAGACCAATAGCGAGAAAGACGTAACGGGGATGTACACATCAAAGGTCGATTGGACTGAACACTTCGAAAAGAAATCCAGTTGGATTCCTATAATGCATACGTGAAAAACACCGCATGATGTTCAATCCAATATCAACCTTAATTTTTATAGAAGGAATATGACCAGAAACGCGACGAGGTACTGTATCCTACGGGTTAACACGCAGAGTAGGAGCTTGAGGGTTTGACGCGGATGTTACTCCGGAAATGGGATAAACGATGTGTGAGTGCGTACACGTATGGACATTCAGAACACTGCGAGAATAACTTGGCCTCACGATTCAGGGTGAGCCTTACAGATGCTGCTGCAAGGCTCGTTGGGATCAAACAGATTCCGGAGTCTTGTGGGTGAACCCATAGATCACGCTCACCAATTCCGGGGATGTAATCTAGGACGAAATATTCCTTCTATCATACAACACTCGGATGATCTTTATCAACTTGCTACATGACACATCGGCGTGACATTCACTTATTCGGCAAGGATAAAATGTTCCTGTGTGCTCTGTACTGTCAAATAGTTCACATGTTCACGGTGGACAGACGCTAAAAACCTATTGTCCACACTTGTCTCCAAAACATCTGAGGATGTGTAACGCAGTTGAAACTCGACTGTATCTGCATGCACGTCTATCACATGAGCTTATGTGTCTCTCCCCCCTCTCTCTCCCTGTTGCAGGTACCATGGTCGAACGACCACGAGCCCCGGACAGGAATGAATAGCCGCTTGTACACCCCCCCAGGCTGACCTTGATCGACCCCTTTTTGTACACACCCCCTGTCTTCCGGCCTCGGTTCGGGTTAATACACGTGCGTTGTTGCTATACTCCGGTCTTCTTCCCTGTACCACCGGACCTGTGCGCATGTGTGCTGTGTATACTGTGTGGATTCATTAATACCAGTCCGTATATCTGCACATTTCAGAACTGACGTGTGCCGTCGCTACATCCTCTCGAACGTCGAATACCGCTGACTTCCTGACATCCCATGCTACAGATGAGTGGATTGAGAATTCTGCCGCATGATTTTCCGAGGAAGCAGCTCACGCGATATGTGGGCTGATGGTACTCCACAGATCACTCTAGTTTGGTCTCGTGCTTCGAATACGACAGGACCGTCTATCTCACAGACCCCTATCCACCCAATCCTGTACACGATGGGAACGGCCTAAAGGAGGCCAGATTACGAAGCTCGAAAGCTGAACAGCCTCAGCCACACTGGCAACCGCAACCTTCCCGGATGACAAACTCGGGACCGGCTACATCAACTACGGAAGACTGAGAGTTAAGTCCCAGGCACGCGCCAAACGACGTCATGGATTCGAGCCATAGCTGGAAATACATGGCTTTCCCCTTTCACCCCAATGTGATTGGTCGTCGCTTGAAGAGCCAGTCAACAGGTGTGACTATGTGACATGGATCCCGTGACTGAAGGATGAGTGGTCTATATCCTGTCTACGTACGAGCTATTCATACTGGCGATCAGCCGCACATGGCCGGGTTTGGAACTCCATGGAGTTTCTTTAAATGTGCACTGGTGGTGTCCAATAAGGATGAGGCAGCTATACAGTACTTCTAGACTCTTCAGAATTGATTGGCCTCACTCGCAGGACGAAATCCCCATTAACAATAACAAGATATGTTCGCAACCGACATACTATCATTAGCGCAACACCCTGAGCTGTCATACTACACCAATGACAATTTGTCCCCACCTCATGCCATCTTTCACTGACGACAGAACTTGTAGTAACTGGAGATCGCCACGCAGTTTATGACTGCAAAGCGCCGAAAAACGGCTTTAAATCTGCCACTTCACCAAATATTGACCATAAGGTTTCTTTAGTTAACACACTGTTACAGAAACATGGATACAGCATTCACCGCACTTTAAGATGTCACTTTGACAGATGGAGCGAACCGAGATCGTTAGTGCTCAGGCAAAAGGCCATTATGATGACTGTGTCAGAGCTGACTGAGAAACAGTTAAACCAAAGCGCAGGAAAGACGGAATTACACGTCCTAGAAAGAGTGAGTATACGACTATTCAGGCAGCTATGCCACAGGTGAAAACACCTAAAAACCCACTGCACGTGAGTTGCGGTCGTTTGTGTCCAGACCAGAAATTCAACCTCAAACGAAATGACAAGTAATGTACGGGATTAATGTGACACAGAAGCCGGAGCTCATACTTAGCAAAAAGCCAACCTTAGTGAAACAATCGGCACGCTACTTACAGTGTACAAAGTAAACTGCTTGAGTTGAAAAATTGCTCTATTTATCTAACGACAGTTTTCAACTCCACATATACAACATAGAAACACTTACTTCGAACCGGAACCTCCTGGTGCAGTGTTGACAACAGTTCGATCGTTAATGGCCTGATTGAATGCCTTGTCCATTTGGTTCCGGAACAGGCTCATACCGTCAAATATTTCATCGATAAACTGGATGAATCGGTTTCGAATAGACAGCAGGTTCTCCACAAAATGTGCAGGTGCAAGCTACAAGAAGGAAATGTTTTTGACACTAATATACAGACTGGAGTAACAAAAGGTTGGTGTTCGTAACAACGTTAGGATGTGGAACAGAAACCAAGCGACACGCATAGAAATTATGGTTCACTAAACTACACGCTTATTGCAAGGTGTCATCGGACAGAATGAAGGGATAATCACGTGTTTGGCATTTTACCTGACCACCTATAACAGTTGATTTTAACAAGGACTTGCTGGTTTTAACTCGGCAGATTCACATAGTCTGACGTGAAGGGGTACTGCTCGTTAAAGGCCTTGTAAGACGGCCGAGTGGACTGCTTTGTTATGGATAAGTCACCACCGAGATATATGAAGAGATATATGAAGCACTATGGCCACAGCACTTCTAGTGACCTAAGAGAAGGTTCCGTATGCATTTGCCTACAGCATTTGACTGCCATAGCTTAGACCCATTAGTTTGGCACGCACAAGGGGTTATCAGGTTTAGCTCACTAACTTCAATTGGCTTTCCCATGTACGCTCATGTCTGCCATACATAGCATCGCATGGGCCAAGCAAAAAGTGTGAACTTCAAGGATCTATGTCACGATTTGCATCCTTTCAGTGGTGGTCTAAGTAGTGTAAATGTAATTGAAACTTCGCTGAGAAATGTAACTACAAAAATGCCCAACCATACAGCTGAACTAGTCCGCTTCAAGGTGAAATCCAAGTTAAACACACCAGGGAATCAGTTGTTAATCTGACTCGAGTTCAGGAAAACAGGTGACCCAGCGTCAACAATTTAGGTGAGAAATATGCGGCTGACGAACGTGGTGGTCCTCGGTGGTTGGCGAATCAAAACCATGGATTAAAACATTGTAGATTCTCAATATGTCAAATGAGGCTTCTGTTAACATGAGGCGGTAAAATAACATTTACTTGAGAGACAAGAAGCATCAATGAAACTAACTATTCGAAGTGGATGGATTAGTAACCATGAGTTGCAATCTGGAAACGCTAATGTAAGAAGGGGAGGCATATGACGAAATTGCAAGGCATTTTCTATCGAAAGCAAATACTTCGTGAAATTGTATATCATTAATGATTACTATGGTACTTTTACACAGTCACACCTGTTGTCCATTAAGCTCTGCATAAGTCTCCACTTCTAACAACTGTACTGGGTTGAATTACGTGAGCGTATAAATTGAACTCGTGTTTTACGTACGATCACGAGGGTGGTTCACATTAATCGGGTCATGTAACGATTTCTTCCAGGAGCCGTCTACCAAGTGTCTACACCCGCTTGTCCAGGTTCGCGAGTGGGCATTTCGTGTCGATTTTGCTTTCAGATAAAGTGAAAGGAGGGAGGCCCTTCGCCACGGAGTCGTTTATTAGAAAACACCAACTGAACAGTTACAGACTATTCGACAGAAAAGTAAAACTCTCATATGCACCTTGTTTTTAAAAAGTGAACGCATCTTCTTGAACTGTCCTGAATATTTATTGACTATTACGCAGTTGTGAACGAATGCTGCAAAGTAGTTCCACAAATCTCCAATAAATCCCACCTTCCATTAGATCAAGGCGGAGTTACGAGAAAACCATATTCTACTCGCTAGCCTCATCAGTAGTATCCACCGTCATGCCAGTATATTCCCACTAAGAACACAGTGGTCGCTTCCAGAAAAAAATTTTTTCGGGTGGATGAAGATCAGAGCCACGAATATGCTTATCGTATTCGGTCTGGCAACACACGTTGGATCCGAATGAAGTGTAAATTAGGAAGGTCGACAGATAAACATCAAAGTAACAAATTCTGCAGACTGGGCAGCTAAAATGTTTTTTTCTCTTTATTGCAGCAGGACCAACTCCTCAAGTTAGCTGAACGGGTATCGATCCATGGAGACTGACCATCCAGCAATCATGTTTTACGTCTTTTTCAAAAACCGATTTGTGAGATCATGAAAATATAGAGGTTATCATCGTACCCAATTTCACACCACAACTTGTTTGTTGGCGGACGTCATTGGCAGTGGTACATGCAACCCTCGCATTGGTCAGCGCATACACTTTTGGACGAGCGAGCATACAGACGGCTAATCGCCCGCCGAATTCTACTCAAAGTTGCTATTCGCGTCAACTACGAGAAGTGACTGACTGGAATTTCGGCCAGCTAAAATCGAGTCGGCGGGTGACCACATTCAGATAGTGGATACGGACGCATGTGTGATTACTCTCGTAGGTACAAGCACCAATATCCCTGCAAATATATATAGGTACATGCCCTGTTGGGCGAGTGTGAGCAGGTTAATAGGTTGGACGATTGTGAATGTGGCGTACCTAATGAGGTGAACAGTGGCGCGCGAGACCCACGGACCAGTGCGAATAAATTTGCAGTCTAATCTGTCGATGGTTCTGGCAGATTCATGAATTCAGGCCGTTGAACACCGTTTGAAGCTCAGAGATCACAGTTGCCCGGCCTGGTGAAGCAACAACTGCAATGAGTGTTCTATCGTTTAGCTGCATTACATTTACACTCCTTAGCTGTCTTCGTATGCGGTTACAAGCGCTCACACTGAGTTATTTGGAGGCCACCGACCACAAGGCAGTCGGATCATTCGACTTTTGGTTACCTAATGAGATATTTAACGGAATATCCGAAAATGTCATTGTGCGGGCTCGGTTGTCAGCTCGCTGTCTCTCAGCATTACGCGTATGAAAGCAGGGTAAGTCATTTAGTCAACTTAGAAGAACTGAGTAGCTGGGAAGCCACTGGAAACGTACAGCGTACAGTCACGCTGATAACGAAGACTGGTTGCAGGTTGAATGGAAAAGAGTGAAAGGAGCTGTGATCTCGGCTCTTAGAACTGACGGTCTAGCCAACCGACCAGATCATATGAACAGTGAATATCATCGAGATTAACAGACCTTATCGCTACCAGAAAAGGCATACGACAGCGCACTTGGAGCCCGTAACAGCAGGACAATCAAAAGCCTGAAGAAGTACAAAGAACGCCGGTGGAGTGCGGAGATTTAAGACACAGGGAAAGCGTACGATGCAGGAAGCAACCACGTCCTCTTTCAGCTGATTCGATCGCCCATTCAAAAGCGTATCAGCAAAGCAACCTACGAGAAGGCGAGAAAGCGATTCTTTATCGGGACCGTAGTATTGAGCGATGGGATGAACACCCTAAAGAAAGCTTCAGCCAACATTCAACAAAATACCGACAACATGGAGCGCTTCGACCACAAAGGGCACAAGAACGTCGTAGAAAGCGATCGTGGCATCAGCTTTATGGCTGTACTATCCAGTTTGTTCTCTGGCATTACTTTGAGTAGGCTGGTCGATTATCTGGAGCCACAAACTCGTGGAAACCAAACTGGGTTTTGTTATGGGCCAGGATGCATTGACTGTATCTTTATCGTGGAACGAGGCCTTGAAAAACACCACTTTTAGACGCCCCCACTTTGGTCGTTTTTCTTGATATGAGAGCTGCTTTCGACTCTGTCGATCGTCAGAAAATTTGGCGGTGTTTTGAGATCAAGGATGTGCTTTCTAGATCCATTTCCCCTATGGTCGCATTGTAGGCGAACTCCTATAAGCGCATATGAGTTTACAGCGAGCTTTCGCCTGAGGTCACTATGTTTGGTCGTTCACGACAAGGCTGCTTTCTGTCACCATTCCAACACAACTTTATTACTGGCGTGCTGCTTAAAACTTCTCTGCCTGCCTCCGAACGGGGGTCGAAGATCCATTTCCCCTATGGTCGCATTGTAGGCGAACTCCTATAAGCGCATATGAGTTTACAGCGAGCTTTCGCCTGAGGTCACTATGTTTGGTCGTTCACGACAAGGCTGCTTTCTGTCACCATTCCAACACAACTTTATTACTGGCGTGCTGCTTAAAACTTCTCTGCCTGCCTCCGAAACCTCGGGGGTCGAAATGCCCAGGGAGTATCCACTCACAGATACAGAGTACGCGCACGAGATTGGTGTCCGTGGTTCATACCCTTCGGAGGTGCCATTCAATTTAAACGACCAAAATAATTCTGCCACAAGGTTTGATACGTACTTCACACCCGCAAAATATAACGAGCTGTTACAAGAGTGTGTGAGGTTGGGCCCCAAGCTCATGCTTGTGGACCAGCCAGTAGAAGTGAAGCGTAGACGAATAAGTTCGCGTATAAGATCACTTCTCGAACTGAAAAAGTCAGGAAAGCCTTTTCCAACCTTCGACGTGGCGTCAGTTTGTCTGTGAAGGGCAATGTCACTTAGAGGGAGAGAGAGTCAGAGTTACTTGGTTCCTCAGAAAAAAGGTACGTTTTCCGCACGTGATAGATAACTGCTCACTTGTAGTCGTTATAGGTTTTAGCTCATGACTGAAACGACGAGGATGTACCCATCAACCCCACAGGAGAAGATCAGTAAATGCGCCATATTTCGAGATACGGGAGGATAAACAACTCCAATGTGGGATTTCTTTTCGAATAAGAATATGACTCGTACGTTCGCATTACCCGAAAACTATGGAACCCTATGGGTTAACTGTGAAAAAATATGAGAAGAAACATGGTCATCCTGAACACCAATATACCAGGAGTACATGGTGCAGTGCGCGCATTTCAGTGTTTAGGAGCCCAGAAGGCTAATGAAAGGGCACAAATCCGAAAAAGACCCAATTAACTCACAGCTAGGTCACGTGGGAGTCCGGCAATGGCTTCACGTATCAACTGCATGATATGCTGTCCAAACCAATGCGACAACTCCGAGCATAAGTTGTCCGGAGCCAAAAGCTGAAACAGGTTTCGTAATTCTGCAACAACAGAGAGGCAAATTAAGTCAACAAATCAGATTACGCGGTCGCAATTATTACACACTCAAAGCAATATAAAGCACAAAATTGTTTAAAAATTCTCTGATCCACACAAGTGTTCCCAATATCAAGTCTGTCAATCAACGCGAGTGGTTGACGGAACCAATATTCAGCCACCTACCGACAAAAGCACAATGAGGAGTGAAGCCGTGACATACCTACATGGTGAACTAGAGACATGTGCTGAAATGGCAATTACCATTACGTTTTAAAAAACTGGACGACAGGAATGGAATGGAGCAAAGTGGGAATTAGACTGTTAATGTAGGACCCTCATAGAGTCGGATATGTTCTCACTCAGTGTGTAAACCATCATCGTAAATCAGTAACTACAGCGAGAGAGTTAACGGTGGTTAAGGACTAAGCTCCTGACCAAATGAAATCGATTGTCTCTCAGACTGGGGGCGAGATGGCCCGAGTGGTTAGAGCGCGAATTTACCGACCGGAAGGTCCGTGGTTCGAATCCCAGCTCCGCCTCTCGACTTCCCCTGTCTAGGCTTGGGCAACCCAGCCCTTGTGCTTCCTTCGGGTGGCATGGCAGCTAGGTACCGGAAGGGTGCTACAGCTGAACGCTTTGACTCTGCTTTGATCTCTCAGACTTCTCGACCACAGTTACTAGACAGTGACTCGACCTTGGGGATTCCCATTGCCGATGGCATCAAAACTGTGTGCAATAAGTATGAGTTAACTGAATGCATTTTAGTCCCTGAGATAGTATATCGAGAAGCGCTCAATCCAAAGGCTATTTATTAGGAATCAAATCATCCAACATCAATGAACAAAGCCGTTGAAACTGATAAACGGGCTGGTTATCGTGACCAGAATTTTGGTTCCACTATCTCCCATGTACTAGCATGTTTCCGATTCCATCGAAAATACAAACGGTAGATTATTTAAATCCATCTGAATTACCTGATTTGTGCTCTTCAGCCACCAGGTGACGAACACTTTGATTGATAAAGTCCAAACGGGCTTTGACAACAACCTCTTGGAACAGGGCCTGGACCTTTAGAAACGATCGCTTGTAGTAACGCAAAGCTCTATTTTTCTCTTCCTCGCGGAGAATGAGGGCCTATAGGAAACATAAAGTAATAATGTTTAAAGTACTGGTCAAGAAAAGACCAATGAAGCACGGAAGATGCGTGAGAAAATTCGTAGGAATATTCCATAAAGTTCATTCACTTCCATGAACTGCAAAGAGACAACTGCCGATGTTCTCAAAATATCAGGAAGGTCAGCTTCCTGAAAAATAAACCACTGAATGCCCGAAATCTACCGAGACTCTCAGCTCCGCTAGATGTTGACCAGACAGATAACGCCCCCTCAATATGCAGCACGTCACAGCCAGACCGTGTGCGTCAGTATTGGACCGAGTTCAGACAGTGCCCCTCCAATAAACAGCTTGAGACTGTTGTACATTCGCACTCGCACGCACTCACGCTCTCGCACCCGCTTTGTTGGAATATAGCTATTGTGTTCCCTTCCGTGAGTCTTTTCTCTCCGACACTAGGCTCTGGAGCGGGTCAGCAGGAGATACCTCAGATTGGCGAATCAGCAGATATAACACAAAATTTAGTACCAACCTAAAGGAACAAACACTCTGAGCAATCTCTTGGTCCTAATCAGTGCATCCACCGTTACATGAAAAAACGAACATGAAGACGTTCCTCCCTTTGAAGCCCGTGGGGGCGATTCCTTTGCGGATGACAGTACCAAAGGCGATCATCGCTTTACTGCCCTGTTATTGCCAAGCACGTTCCAGCACAGGAAAATGATAGCAGAGTAGCGAATTCATCATGAACGCATCATGATGGAAGACATCAAACGCTCCTGGAGTTCGAACCCATGCAACAGCTGACACTCTTTTCCCGTGAATGACTGTTTCTTGGTCTGAAGCCGATGAACCGAATCAGTAACCTGTTGTTATTTGTAAGTGACAACCGATGTGGAAAGATGACATGCTTTCATTCCACTTACTTGCTGCGTACACAATGGTTGATCTGACAATGTAACTAAACTGCTGCCATGAATGAAGATGGTACAGAGACCACGATCACGTGACAGCTACGTTAAATAAGGGACTATCATTTCCTTGAATGGAAGTTGTCCAACTGAAGCAGTGCACTTTGCCTTTTGAATACGCCCGCATTAGCACTGATAAATACTCTGGGGAATATCGTTCTTAACCTCACGTCGAAGGTGCCACCTAAAGACCTGTGGTTTTGTGAAGCATTCAAGGAATTCGAATTAGACAAGCCAACAGACAACTTGCAGTTAATCGCCACTCAGAGTATGTAGGGTCATGGGACAAGTTGCTCATAAATAACAGACCAAATGAGTTGTTATTGCCGACAAATTACCCAAACAATTACCCACTGGCAAAACTGTTTCATCAAGGCAGAACGAAAATTCGAAGACTTTGGTCGATTAAGATTGACCGGTTAAATTTCCCAAGGTCTCATCGCGAAAAACATAGGACCATGAAAATCGGAATACACTTAGTTCAGCAAGATTGTTACCAACTGGGTCGGGAACATCTCAAGAGCTTTTGTGTCCAAATGGTTGTACAAACTGGTAGCGCACAAGCTGCATCTGATTAGTATGGAGATAAAAATAGGATCGTTGAGGGTTACAGGTTGGAATTGATGATATTACCCTGAAAAAACTATATGGGACTACATGTGAATATTTTTTGAAAAGCAACTAACCTCGTTGACGTACTGTGAGCAAGCAAGCTCGGTCTCGCGACTGGCTGCCCAACTAGTATAGAATGTTTTGGTCGACTCGAGTAAGGGTGCTTGGAATATTTTGTTATAGATATCCATGCCTGCCTGTGGAAAAAGGGACGAACGGACAATCACGCAATGACAACCAAGATCACCGGAGTGGGAAAATGCCACGCCAGTTCTGGTAGAAGCAAGTGAACAATAAGTGAAAAAAAACCAAGTGAAGTATATAGATTATATATATATATATATTATAAGAAAAAAAGGAAACCGAGGTCAGTATCAGTACATTAAGTACAGTGAATCATTAGTTGTTGTAACAACTTTCCAGTAACTGGCTGACATGCCACTGAGGGACGCATAACGGCTGAGCGACCATCAGGTTTCCCGAAACCCGGACAGGAGGTTCGGTCCGAACCGCGGGCCTTTCGGTCATTAATTTCGCACCTTAACCACTGAGCTCTCTCAAGCACATGGTAAGCACAAGAAGTCCATTAAATACATTGGGCACATTGCTTACGAATAATGACAGATTGGGTGATGACTAGACTGACGTAGATTAACCACTACTTAAATTTTCGTAGTCAGTGATATCACACAGTATTTTTCATTTGCACTTCGTGACTGATAGTGGTGAAAGGCTCGAGAAAAAGACTTAGAGCAATCCGAAAAAGAACTTTCACAAGGCTTAAAGGAAACGTGCGACTACAGCTGTATTTTTGGAGCACATTTACAGCTCTGCCGACCCCGCGCTGTGTAATGATATGCACCGAGACAGCCAAGGTCTTCTACTTATTTATTTCAGAGCCATGGTTTGCTTGAGATTCACCAGTAATTGCATCTATGGATAAGTAAGATCCGGGCAGCCAAGGATCTCACAGGAAAATTACGACTATCAGACTGTAAGCAGTTCGTATCCTGTAGTCAACAGGAACAGAAGGACAAGGGGAGTAGGTGTCGTATTGAGAACTGTCAAGAACTGATTCTATGAACAAACGGGTTTATGAACATCGCAAATTAAGCAAAACCAATGATAGCGCAATCGGTAGGGTCAGAAAAAATGGTTATTAAGGCAGTACGGCCTTCTGAAATCACTAGCAATAGGACCAAGTGATGCACAAACGTACAGATATGGGCAGTCAGTCAGTGTAAATTGGCCGTATACACAGATTACGGTGAAGGAAACAACCACTACGTTCGGGAGGTAATCCGGTAAACACATGGCCACCGGTGACTAGGTTTAGCAACATTATTACCACAGACGACTCCCTTCATGCATATAAGCCGAATCTAGTACTTGTTCCACTCAGGTAACGGTTTTTGATTACTTGAATTATTCTTGGAATTACGGACGTAGTGTGGCGGAGAGACAAAGGCGTTATCGTTTCAGAAAGCGTGATTTTTCTTCTCGAGTCTCTTTACTCTGTGGGCACGGCAATATGTCGGTGCACCGACACGGGTGTAAGAACTGCAGCAAGCAGAAGCTCGCCTCCAACATAATCCGGTAAAGTAATACCAAGTGCGTTAATAATGTGCCCACGCTTGTGGAACATTTTAGACGTGACTAGTAGAGCAGTGGGACCTATGCTGTCGGCGGCAGGTCAGGTCTCAAAGAACCCTAATCCAACACCACGCATCTAGCTATACGTCTCCTTTTCAGGCGAAGTAATTCCGTTTTGGGAGCACACCTCGTACACAGTCCATTGTAGAAGGCATGCTCTGGCGCATCTGTCGCTGCCCCGCAAGTACAAGTCTATGTTGCTGTTCATTCTGCGTCGACACAATCCTAATCTTTCAAATGACCCGATGACTCTATTTTGCATTTCAAGACTGACGATTCCTCAAACAATTGCCGGTGGTGCTTATTTCCACGTTGGATTGCGCATGGGTTTGCGCAATGTCTGGTTGACAGCCAACATGCGCAGTGAATTAACACTGCTCGACATTGTCCTCAACATCGATGATGTCAGTCTACACGGGACGTCAAGAAAACATATTTGGCCAATTCTCATAAGTGCGTCGAAATTAGCAAGTACGGAGTCATTTGTGGTTGGTGCATTTCGGAGGGTTTCGAAACTGCTGGACGTTTAAGTCTATTTTCAAGACACGATAAGCGAGCTGCAATTGGTTTTGGATAGTGGTTTTACTCCTCCAGATGATCAACAATGTGTATCTGTTCATCTGTCACGCATCGTCTGTGACAAACCAGCCAGGTCGTTCATCAAACAAATCAAGGGACATTCCGGCTATTAAGGATGCGACAGATTTAAGTTGATGGAGTCCGGCCTGAAAGGATGATGAGTTGACCACAACTACACGCCCGTTTGACAGACGCAGACTTCCGTTCAAAACCCAATACTAGGCATGTCATTTGTATCTCTCCAATAGATATGATTAAGTCTTCTCCCCTTGATTATTTGTACTTGGCATGCCTAGTTGTAACGAATCAGTTACTAGAATTTTGGGTTGGTGGTCAAACGCGTTGTTCTTAAAAATTGTCACAGACAATCAGGACAGAAATTAACCGGCACACTTCAACTTACACAGTCACACACCCGGCGAGTTTCAACATCGTTGCTGCCCTATCGAGGATAGTGGTCTGTGGAAAGCCACGGAGTTTAGACAGTTTTTACTTTCCGTAGGGCCTGTCGTACTTGCAGGTTTGATTGACAACGTTTAGGCAAATTTCCTTGATTTGTTCTGTGCCGTGTATATATTTCCTAACCGAATCTTCCACGTTGATTATGTTGACTGAGCTCAAAGCGTAACACGCGTATTTGTACAAATTTTTTTTCGATATATATAGACCACGGGCTGTCATGTTCACTGGTGCATTTGGCGGATGATGTGAGGCTACATGGACCCTTGAACCGGTTTTATACATTTCCCTTTCAGTCATTTTTAGGTAAACTGAGGACGGATGTTTACGGGCAGCGTAATCCCGTCGTTCAAATACGACGACGTATTGCTGAACGGTCAGCATTAGCTTCTGCCTACACGCTGGACTACCTGCCAACAGATGACTGTGGGTGGAGGTGAACCTGTCCCACCAGACGGTTTACTCTTCCGCTGTACACGAGACAACGCATTCTAGTTGACATTAGTGCAGTGCATTAGTGTAGGACTTACAGTCCTCCACTTATATTTTAGAGGATTCGGTCGTTCCTTCTTTTTTACATACCCCGTACAGTCAGGTGATATTCCTGTTTTCCAAGCAAGTCAACTGAATGAACGTGTCTTCGTTCAGCCTTTGATTCGCATTAGTTGTAAGTGTTTCGCGCTTCCTGCGAATGATGAATTTATTTATATCCCACTGTTATATTCCTTTGGAAAATAAAACACCCTTCACAATCGGTTCTAAACCTAGCTTACAAAACTCTGTTGCTAATATGGGTTTAATCATGTTACCGCCTTCCTTATAGACACATACAGTGTTCTAATTCTAGGATAACGGACAGTTTGGGATTGGATGTGAAGAATGGTTTTGCGATGAAAGAACAATCTGGTGGCGGACCTTTCGTGACTACGACGCGACGGAACTGGCGCCAATAAAAAAAAGAGCATGCTTTCGAACAGCATCACGCGCACCATAGTGGTCATCAAGAAGTTTGGCACGCTTCACACAAAGATGTAATTGAGCATTAACAAGCCTTTCAAAAAATTACTCTGAAGCTGTTCGGTTCAGTGCAGTGCGGAACTCCAGCGACGGCACCTCAGACACGGAACCACGGACTTACTTTGCACAGTACTACGGTGTCCAAGAGAGGTAATTTTTGGTAATCACCAGTCCATTTTTTGGAATACACAATCCCAAATGTTTATTAACTAGTGATGGGTTTGAGAAACGCCGAGTTCGAAGAACTCCGAGAAAGTTTACTTAATTGATCCCTCCACGAAGTTTTTCATCACCTGTTGAGTAAGTTTGCGGTTATACTTTTAGTTTATTAGGAACTTCGTATGTAGTTCGACTTATGGTCATCGGTTGTATGCAATGTCTCGACCGTCTATGCGGACTACTGAACAAACCGAGGACTCCAGCAAGGAAACATGCAGTCCAGATGGGTAGAATGTACCCGATCTCTCAACCAAAAAAAGATCCTACGCATCCTGGCTGCGTCCCGAGATACACTCCAGTCACATTCATTCATTCCTCCTAAGGTGAAATACGTGACGAGTGTCAGAGCAGAGGTCTTCTGAAGTGACTTAATATCACTATTTTGTTGCTTGCTATTACAAGAAATGTTGGATCGTACCGGAAAGAACGTACGCTAGAAATAAATAGAGCAATGCCTCATCTCGGGTGCATCCACGAAATAAGTAGGAAAGAGCAAATTGGAAGAGATAAACACAACGCCCGAAATGGGGTATTTGGATGCCTTTTCGGTCAGATTGTTGGATACGGCAGCGAAGCATCGGTGTTGAACACTGATTTCATGCTGTCGATGATGATGATGACGCAGATTATTGAACGCGCAGTTCCGCGAACAATCAGTGAGTACTTTGAACCTGGCTTTATTGATGAAGGTTATTTCTCTTTCATGATTGAGTTACTTTGACCCCCTTCTGTCAGTCAGAAACATGCTATGTGCTTTGTCTGCCCCAGAGTCCGCAGATCAACTGATTCGGTTAAAAGGAGAAGATAAAAGACTTATGCCATGCACAGAGTTACTAAGGCTGATAAAGGGTGGGACAGCTGCTTTACATTGATAGATGTCACTTTAGATGCCATATACTCTGCGGTTACACATTTCACCGCTGAAGCAAATTTAATTATTAAATCAATTCAGTCTTAATTCAAAGGAACCTTTGATTAAAACCCTGGAAACCGGAAGCTTCGATGTGAGAGAGCCGCGTAGCGGCGGATTGACGAAAATCTATGACGTTATTAAATTACTATTACTACATTTATATTTTTGCACTTATCTCGTTATCTTTGCCAATGCAGTATGTTGTCGTAAGCAAAACGCAGTTGGCAATTATGTACGTTCGGTTATAATAAAAATACCGTGAAGTTTGGCGGTGTGAACGAGTACTCTGGGACGCAGTCAGTTAACCAGCACATGTACCTCAGCTAATTTAAGGATGCAACCGTTGGCCTCCTCCGGCCGCAAGAGGCCTTGGAATTTTTATGTAAAAATCCTAAAATGTTGCACCATTTTTTGGGTTACTACCTTGGAACGACCTTAGCCACCAGTGGCACGTGCAACCCCTGGCCACCGATAGTGTGTTTACTGGGAAGGAACTGCCTTTGGCTGAAGGCGCGATGCAGCCGCTCGTGACAGGTGCCAAATCGGATTGCGCGCTTCGATCTTTTCAAAACAAATCTAAACACAGGCCATCTGGCAGATACGGTATAAAGGTAATACAAAAAATAGTGCCTCCTGGGGCATCGACTTGGTGCAGCGGATAACAAGCCCGTCTACAATCTAAAGAGCTCTGGGTTCGATCCCTTGCCGGTCCGTCTTTCCCTCAGAGCGGACACTCGAAAATGGGTGGAGCTGAAACGCACTTGCAACGAAAACAAACCGGCGAAAAATCTTGGTACCATTTACTAAAGGATAAGCAAACCCCAAGCAGGGGCGAAAACCGAGGAAACGAGCAGCAAGGAAACACAATGGTGTTATAATAAGCGAGGGTAAGAACACGCTACTCATGAGTAGTCCATGCAGAAAAGAAAATTACCGGATGAAGCAAGAGGATGAATGAACCGCACAGGAATACTGCGAACAGCGAATGACCAGCGACTATATCAAGATTGCAGCGCCAACGCATTTCGTCGTTGCTGGTTGGTTAGAACACGGGTTCGTGGTGCGTTGGTTGCGCCTCACACTTGAGTGTCATATGTGCATTTGTCAGTCGCTCCGACAATCGACGTATCCGCAATTGTGCATGCGAGTGATTTACTACGTTGAACTCACAAGCCCTGGTTCTGACACCAGTACCCCTAAAAGCCGTGTTAGCGAATCAGATGGGATGAGAAGTATGGCGACATCTGAAACAGTGAACCTTGGACAGGACCAGTCCGTCGACTGCTTTGGAACCAAGATGACAGCAACCACCTGGCCATTGCCGACTGCATAGACAGGAAAAAATAATCGGACCACACGCATGTTCTCGGTATATGGCTGCTCTGTAACTTGAAGGAAGTACCGGATGTTACGGGTGGACGAACCAGTACCTTGAAGTGAAATTCACATAATCCACGGAGGTCTCGTTTGCAAGAAGTTAGTGAGTTATGAAAGGTTGACACCCACATTCAAAAACATACGGGCACTTGAAGCTGGAAATTCTAGAAAAAACTGACTCCGGTGTCTTAGAGTTCAGGCAACACTTCCGACTGTAACCAGCGAGCTACGGAAGACAGCTAAGAAAAAAGGAGAGGTCACAGGAAACGTTGAAAGCACAAAATGACGATCGATGCAAACTCACTCGTTCATTGTCCCTCAGTTCCCCTACCCGGCGAAAAGATTCAACTGAAGCATGGATGCAATCTTGTTGTCCATCGATGCCCATCCTATCACTGGAACAAAAAATGGGGTCGCAAAATGCCTCGTCCTTACTTCTGCACTTCCCGCACTAGACAAGCGGACAACCTGTCTTTAATCAAGTCAAGCAGGTAGAGCTTCCAGTGGGCTAGGCCAACTTCCAATATCTCCATCGTGTGGCGATCCGCCATGGGTAACACTGCACTATAGCACATCTCAGCTTCTGTTGGTCGCAAAGTTCTCACATATTGTTGATTGACAAATCTGCGTGCTGCATGATGACAATCAGATGCTTACCTATAAAGATTATCCAGATAAGTCAGTCCTTTGTGGAAAGTCGTCCAGTGATGTACATAAGCTGGGAGAAGCTTCGAGTCGTCTAACTGCTCCAACTCTGTGGCAATTTCTTTTACCCGTGCGCTTATAAGGGCAGCAGTGGCGGAATACAGAGTAGGTGCATGAGAAACCGGTCGTGAGTTGCACAGTGTATACACGTCTGAGAAACTAGCACTCCAACTATCACGACTAACTGACTCACACCGAATGAGACGAAAAACAATCTGGCTCAGCTGGGCCCACTTCTCAGCAAAATCCACAGACGCACGGAACATTACCTGGTCAACCAACAGCGAGGAGAGGAAGACTGCAAACAGAGAAGAAATGTAAATGAATCCTACACAGAATCAAGGTATAATATGTTGCCAAACCTCACCCGCTAACTGACTGCCACGATCATATTTTGTGTTCACTGCTGCAGTGAGTACCCCACAGACAAGGGAGCAGATGAGGGTAGTTTTAACTGTTACACTCCTGAACTTACGAGGGTGCACTAATACCAGAAGGACTCACTGGAACAATGTATATGGCTGACGGAGTTTATCCGTTGAATTGTATCTTCGAACGTGTCACGTTCGTGTGGCTCCCTGAATAAAGGACCAGCAACTTGACATGGGAACCTGGAGTGGCGACCATCCAAAAGATTGTAAGATGGTGTCCTTTCGTGCGATAATGCAACCTGTCCACTGCTCCAAGTATGAATTTATCAGATGAAATGAAGATGAAGCGTTTTCGATTGTCCCCTTGAGCCATAAGCACCAACCTTGCCCACAAAATATCAGAATCATCGCTTAGGATCATCCTTGTGCTCAGCTTTACGCAAACGAATACAAACGGTAACCTAGATAACACGAGTTACAGAACTTTCCAGTAAGGAAAACCCTGAAAACTGAAAAAAAAACCTGCCACAATAGGGGTTTGATTGTAGAAAAGAGTGAAAAAGATGACGAAGTAAAGGCGCCTTGTGCAAGCTCGATTCAATAAATTCTTCAGCTATAGACCGTGTAACATAGGCGCATTGGTTCCACTTGCTACAGTTTCGATCGCCAGGAAGTGAGGTTATGAGCCATACAGCCAAGCTTTGGAGGTGATAGCATGTTCGGTTAGTTCGGGAACTGGGTAGTTATGCACTGAAGGCGATGATGTGCGAGCACCACTGACTGCGCGATCGAGCCATTTCTGGCAGTGTAATTAACAATTGGTGAGTTACGTCCCGAGGTCCCCATTCAGAAAGGCGGCAGTTGTCAACTCGGCTAAGTTCACTGGTTAGCGTTTTTCATACTTCGTAGAGCTGTAGCATTCTTTCGATGCATAACTGCCATGCTACCAGAAGGAAGCACGAGGGTTGGGATACTGCCAGGTTGCCCAAACCTACACCAGGGAAGTCGAAAGGCAGAGGTCGGGTTCGAACCATGGACCTTCCGGTCAGTAAATTCGCGCTTTAACCACTGAGCCAGCTCGCCCCCGTTTTCGTGCTTCGTTGTCGGGTCACACACTGTCAACCTCTTGGTGGCTTCTACACAAGACACGGCTGGGTGAAGAGAGGAGGATGACCCAGTGGTTAGAGCGCGAATTTACCGACCGGAGGGTAGGTGGCTCGAACCCGACCAATGCCTCTCGGCTTCTCTGTCTACGTTTGGGCAAACAGGCAGTTTCCCAGCCCTCGTGCTCCTTTCTGGTGGCGTGACAGTTAGGCACCAAAATGGATCTACAGCTGGACGACTTTTTGGTGAAAAAAGCTCTGTGAGGCAGAGGATCTTCTGGGATCCGGAGTACATTGCCTAACCAGCGTAACCTATGAAGTGTGAGTATTTGACTTATCACAGAGAGTTCCTTGTCCTTAGGACATTCTAGCGTACCCTAACACCACTAATTCGATGGTTGCACCATACCCGACCGATGCTTCGGAGACACAGATGGTCAAACACGTCCTCTGCTTGTAGACGTTACTTCTTTGATGTATAAAGCAATATGTATCGCACCGCCGCAGTGTAAACTCCGGCCTTGACAGAAAAACTGACTCCACGTCGGCGCCATAGGCGTTGGAGGTTGGCAAAAGTTGCCCCGGCTTTCCTGAATCTAGAAGAAATCTCATCTCCAGCCAGTCCACCGGAACTTATACGACAACCCAGGCAAATAATTTCATCTACCACGTCAACTGGCTTGTCGGCAAGCATGAGCTTTGGGTTCGGTCCCACCCAGTCCTGTAGCAGCACTTTACAATTTGCAGGTGTGAAGCGCATACTAAAAGGTTACGGCAGAGTTATTTAGGTTATTTAAAATGGTTGTCATTTTGAAGGATCTGAACCAAGTAGAACAATATCATCCGCATACTCAAAATCTGTGAAGGAATATCCCGGGAGCATTTCGACACCCGAGGCTTCAGAGGCAGGCGGAGGAATTTGAAGCAGCACATCAACAACAAACCTAAAAAAAGACGAGGAGGGCAGCCTTGCCTTACGCCAATGGACGTCGTGAATCCTTTGAAAGCTTGTCGTATACTCGTAGGTGCCCGAAAAGAGTTCGCATACAGAGCCCTCATAAAGGATATAAATTTGGGACACATTAGATCACCAGACACCAAAGTTCTCACGATCGACAGTATGAAAATCAGCCTTTAGATCATCATCATCATCGACAGCTTGACATCAGCGTCCAACACTGATGCTTCAGTTCCGTACAACCATGACTTATTTGAAAGCCTTATTGTGAAGAAAGGAATAAAGGTGGGTGGGGGAGGGACTTAGTGCAAGCTAAACACAATCATTCCAAGGGGCCTACACATCCAGAAATTCACGCAGGCAATCTGGATGGAAACTGACAACAAGAACACCACTGACATCGGTTGTCAGCCACATCTTGTAGTGTCTCCAAACAGGCACAGTGAGGATCACGCGGTCCCCATCCCGGAAGGCGAGTAGCACCGACAGCACCCAAGCGTTTCGTGATCTCCTTCATAGTCCTCTGCCAAGTCAAGGGTTGGCTACTTCCCTGCTTACGCCAGCCTGAATTGAGCATGGAAAACAGCACTCTCTTTGGCAAACGATGGTTCGGCATACGCAACACATGTCCCAACCAACGCAGCTTCTGGTGCTGGACACATTCTTCAATGGAAGTACCCGTTACACAACCGAAAACACGCTTTCTAACTACCTCGTTACGGATTCGCCGACACCAACCCACACAAGCTATGGTTCTAAGACAACGATTGTCTAACACC